CCCCAAAACCCCAAAACCCCAAAACCCCATGATGCACATTAATTAGCTAGAAGTTAAAGTATTGAAAATGAAAATAAATAATCTTTTTTGACTATTTTAAATAGATTTTTGCATTCTGACTTTAATATTGGAATCTTCACCATTCATCTGAGACTACATTTGTTTCTGCTTCATCTCTGGGCACTTTGACTGCAATATCTGGAAAATCTAGAATCTCATCGGTTGCATTATCGTGTTAGCTTAGCCATTTAATATATTCGTCAGAAATCTTTTTGAATTGCTTTCTCAATGAGCTACAATGAAATTTTATAAAGAGAGAATACTTACTATTGAATATAGATTCTGTTTGTTTCTGGAATCTTTTAAATGATTTTGTTGTAATTTGCTTGTTCCTCTTCAGTAAGAACATGAATGTAGTTTTTAATGTTAAAGTCACCAGTTCTTCTCTTTAATTGTTCTACATCTTTTTTCCAATCTCTCTCCTCTGGAACACTGAAATCTTCATCCTCACTCTCGGTGACATAGGAGGCCGAGTATTACATCTATGGAACAGACAATTCCTTTGCAATGGTAATTTTGCTAGCTTGCCTACTCATAGCATGTTCTCTTATCCTTGGATTATTTGCGATCTTAATTTCAAATATTTTTTGTTCATCCTAATTCTTTTGCTTCATCAGCTTTTCCTTATTACTCTTAATATAGGCTTTGATTTTATCAGTCAACTTAACTAATTACTAGATCTAAGTATTTCTTCTAATGAACTTTTACTAAAACTTAGACATACTCTCTCCTTAATTCAATCTTGAGTTTTTCAAAAGTACAGAGCCAGTGGAGTTTTTATTGGCAACTAGCTCTCTTAATCTCTCAATCATCTCCTCTTTACTTTAAAGATTGACAGTTTCAATCTTCCCCTCAAGTGAGCTCTACTTAGCAGGTTTCTTTTGAATAGTTTTAGAAAATTAAGACTCGCTTTAGAATCTTTGAATGTTTACTTTTTGTACTTTTTTATTGTTACCCAATACATTATCGCCTTGAATTCTAACAGTTCCCTAGCCATTGATAGTGTTTTTGGCATTTGAAATACCGAAGAATTAATCGTCACTAAATCTAGCAGCTCTGGATGTTAACCCTTAACCATCAGTTAAATCTCCAGCAACACCCTCTTTTCTTGGCATTAAAGTGTGATAAAGTTAGAAGAAATAGAAATAGTAGAATACCATTCTTACATTGTAGGACCAATGGAAGAAATAATGGAAGAATTTTTCATGGCTTAGTATTTCTTATAACATTGCAGATCTTTATTTGACTGGAATGATATGAGTAATTTTAAAGAGTAGCCAGATACATTTAGCTGTTGACATTCCGTGATCTAGATCCATTAGAATTTTAATGGCTTTAAAAAGAAGCATATAGTCAAATTAAGGAGGTAGTAACTATTTATTTCTATTTATAGTAGTAAACCAAGACGCAATTAAATCGAGAGCACTGCTTACAGCAGGTGTGTCAAATGCATGTGTCTTTTTCAGGACAATAGTCACAAAAATATTTAAAAGTTTTTCATTGTATAGCATTGCGCATGTAGTTTCTTTCAAAGCTTCGGGATAATATGCAATATCTCTTTCTTTCATTTCTAGTAAAATAGATTTTAAAATTGTTCTATACCCTGGAACATCCTTCCAACTGACATTGTTGCTGACAAGTGTGTTCTTCACATATATAGCCCATTGCTTAATAATCAGAAAGAAGGCTACACCTCTTTTTTGTATTCTTAACTTCCATTTATCTGATCCCAAAGCTCTTTACAAGATTTCAACTGCTTATTCTTGTTAGTTTTCAGGAATCTAATCATAGCAAAATGTTTTCCAATCAAACATCCTCATAATAGCTGCATTTGCAAACTCATTTTCATCATTACTGTCCTTCTCTAAGGTAAAACCTTCTGTGTTTCTCCATTCTTCAATAACACCATCACTTTTAGCCAGAATAATGCTTAAAAATCTCTCTCTGAATTCAGGTACTCTGAAATAACTAATAGACATGATGATTTCAACAAAATTTCTCTTGTAAACATCTACACCTTTCATGTTTAGTTTCTCAATACCCATTTATAGTGCTTCGTGCTGGAATAACTGATAATTTGTGGCAACTTTAAGCTTTTTCTTGAAGATTTCTCTCATATTTTTATCATTGTTTTAAGCAGTAGTTTAATTTTATTGGAAGCCCATTTATCCTAAATCAAGTTCACTTCTTCTCATAATATGGCAGAGTGTTGAATAATAGTACTCTCTTTAATCAAAGTCGACATATTCAGAGAAAGTCATACAGTGAAGACCAAGGTCTATGAATATTTTTTAAGCTTTAATTAGCTCAACTTCATTTGAGTAAATGAATGACATCATTGAATTCTTGTGGGTCTAAACGAGTAGAGATGCAAGCTCCTAAAATATCTATACTTTTTCATATAATGTTAGTCTCTATTTAACTTTTCCAGTGTCTGAGAGGATCAATTTATCCTTCAGGACATTGATCTTTTTTATTTAAGAATCACCATCTTTGGATAGTTTTTAATTAGTCAATTATGACTCTAACAAAATAGGCTTTGAACTAAATTGGATTCCACTCTTAGTCAGGACTCCTACCTTCATTTGATAGAGGATTGGAAGATTAAAAAAAGTTAAAGTTCCAGATATTTCTCCAATACATTGACCACAGAACCATAATTTTTCTGAAAACTATTTCTTTTTTGAAGATGCAAATGCTGATTTTATTACATCTTAAGAAGATTTTCTTTGTAAATCTGCATTACTTAAGATTCTACCATTTATTGTACCACTTCCATTGTTTTTACCTCCCAATGAGTTTATTCTCATGGTATCAAATATCATAGAATCCTTTAAGTCAAATGCTCTCATCTCTTCATTTAGTAGTTTAGCGAATCCAATATAGCATTCTGACATTAGCTCAGAACTTTGATTTTCTCTTTAATCCAAATGCTTGGATTATTTCTTTGCATAAGGTTAGTGATGACCTGGAGCATAGAAATCCTTTGCATCTTCATTAATCCTGATTGAATCTTATTTCTAAAAGGAATGAACTTAATCAATTTTATTCCCTTCACTTTTTATTCTTGGTCCAGCACTTTTTCCTGTTGAATTGTTTGAAACTTGGCTTGCATCATTTGTTAATTTCTTTGCCATATCAATCTTAATATCATCAAGATGAATATGCTTCTTTTGCAATTCCAATTTAAAGAACTTGTCTTCCCAGATTTTGAACTTCATCGAGGTGTATCTGACTTTATCCATAGATAATTTAAACTATGAAAAATTATTAAACAGATTTAAAAACTTACCAAGCAATATGGTGATTCATTATTTTCCAACTAACTATCTTAAAGGAGATCTAGTGTTTATTAGTGCATTGATCGAACTTAATTCTTAACTTCATCTTTTTCTTTTTAATCCTCATCTTCATTTTTGCCAATATGCAAATGCTTAGAATCAAAGACCCAATTGACAACAGCATTATCTTGTCCTTGAGTAATCTTACTGATTTTAGTGGAAGAGGTATTTGACTCAAAGACCTTTTAGAAGGTGATCACATTGAAGTTAATATTATAAGCTTCATCTTTGTGTTCATCGAACTTAACATGCACTTCATCTAGCTTCACCTCAACTTACTTGATTTCAGAAAATACAACATCACATGATAGCTTACCAACATATTTCTTTTACTATTTGAAGAATGGTTAATCTCAAATTTCAAAACTTCTTATTAAAAATCTTATTCATTAACAGATAAGATTAATAAGATTTGAAATAGAAAAATAGCTGCAAAGAGTCTAATAAACTTACTCTATCACATAATTCAATTGAGTGATGAACCGGGCCAATAGCTAAGGTGTAGAGATCTACTCTGTATAGAGATTTCACTTAGCTCTCGTATTTATTCTTAGCAAAGGACATAAGTCTGACCTCTAAGAACTTTTTTTAAAGATTCTCGTAAACACATTTATATTTGAAACTTTTCTCAAAATTTTTCCACTAATTAAAATAAACATCAGCATTTGTAAGATAATCTTACCTAGACATTATTACTATTCATTGAGACACTAGTCTCAAATTTTAATTCTGGATCGTCATCAATCTGAATTTCTAAATAGCAATTCAACTATAAAACATTAATCAACATGATTGCTTGAAAATCTTACGCTTTGAGCTAGCTCTCTTAGTTTAATTTGATAGATGCTAACTTCGAACTCAAGTTCCTTCTCATGAAGATCAGCAATATCCAGGACTTACTGACCAAACCATTCTCCTGCAACTGTCTTTGAAGTGATAGTAACAATACTGAATAGTAAATATCATTAGTATCATTTCAAAAAGTAGAATATATTGTTAGTTCCCTTTCATAGTCTTGATAAATACTTACTTGTTATTTGCATTACTAGTGCTTGCACATGCACCCATTAATCGGAAATAATATATAAAAATAAATGTGGATAATTAATGTTTGTTTAACCTAATGTTAAATCTCAAAATTTCAATTAAATTCGGTGAATGGGGTTTTGGGGTTTTGGGGTTTTGGGG